GCAGTACAACCAGCGTGCAGCTGCCTCCGTGAGTATGGTTCCCTGGGGCACCCTCGGCAGTTACAGGGGAGACGGGCCAAAGCAAGGTCTGGGCCCCTGGACTCTCACTGCTCCCTGGTCCCAGGCCAGGCACCTGCCACGTGCTGAATTACCCTCCTCTCAGTGGGCTCAGTTTTCCATAATTAACAGCAAAACCCCGAGGAACCAGAATGCTTGGGAAATACCTGGGTGGCACAAATGAAGTTTCGGTTAATGCTGCTGTAAATCAGTCGTGCTGCAATGATTTAGGGTCATAGGTCCCCTTGGAGAATCTGTTGAAAGCGCTCTATCCTCCCCCCTGGAGAAAGGCACGCACAAAAACCTTTCGGTTTAAACCATCTGGGAGATCCTCAGGCTCTCCCATGCAGCTCAAACTCGGGCTCCACGTCAGGTAGCCAGTGAAGTATGAGTGAGCACGCCTCACCCACGAGCCCCTGCAGGCACTTCCTCACTGTCCTTCCACTCCCTCAGTGGGGAGGGGGACAGGGACTGCCAGTCCTTTCGACAGACCAGGAAACTGAGGCTAAGAGAGGTGAAGGGACACCACTAAACTGAGTCCTGGGTAGGGCGGGAGTTAGACCAGGACTTGGGTCTCCTCATTCTTTCTGGTGAGGATGGTTTTGAAATCTGTGAACTCAGTCACCAGGATAGAGACATGGAAATTCTGAACGTGGCCTTAGGTGCTAGTGTAGGGATACCTATGAATTGATTCCAGAAAAACTCCTAGGGTAGCTGAACATTGCCTTTTTAAAACTAAATCCCTGAAATGTGTCTATAAAGTAGCTCCTACCCCTTGGTGACTCTTAGCACACTGTCCAGTTATCCCTCAATCTAAGACACACCTGGCTTGTGTGGTTAATGGTTCCCCACTAGAATATAAAGTTGGCACCCCAGAACCTGGTACCCATCAGCCCCCACGGTGGTTAAATGGGTGTATGGTTAAGGAGGAGGTGGTGTGGCTCCAGAGCAGCTCATTCTGGTTGAGGGGCCCCGGGTTTCACTGTCTGCATCTACCTTCCTGGTGCTTGTATCACTGTCATAGCCCCCAGCCCCGTGTGCCATGCTGCAGACAGACTCACCTCTGCTGTCTTCTCTTTCAGTTCTTTTCGTGTTTAGTGATGATTGCCTATGGAGTGAGCGCTTTCTTCAGCTTCCAGGCCTGGCGAGGAGTAGGCAGCAATGCAGCCACCAGTCAGATGGCTGGCGGCTATGCCTAAACCATTGGTGCCATGGGCCACCCTGGGCCTGAAGGCTGTAGCCTGGTCCCTGTGCAGGTGGCCCCGCAAGCCCGAAGCCTGAGCCCTGCATGGAGTCAGCCCAGAAGGGACTACACTTGCTCTTCTCTGCTCATCAGACTCCTTGGGCTCACCCCACACTCCCAAGGAATCAGGATCCTTCCTCTGGCAGGCGCATGGGCTGGAAGAGAGGCCAACAGCCAAGACCTCTCCATCCTCCATATTCAGCAGAAGGTGATGGGGGATACAGGACTCTCTCTGCTTTGTCTTTAGGACTTCGGTGTCCAAGGCTGGGAGCCAGCCTTCTCATTGGCACTAAATACACTAACAATGACTCCAGACTTGCAGCCCACCATAGAATATGCCTAACAAGCAGCAATTATTTATCTCTGTTTTTGTTCTGGGAAGCTGAGCAAATTCATGATACCGTTCTGATTCCTTAAAACATAATCCTGGCCTGACCCTCCGCCAAGCTAGCACGTCACTTGTAGGGAAACATGTCGAAAGAGGGTTATGATGCTGACAGCATGGTCTTCCTTTCCTACATTTCAGACATACCAGTTATTTTAAACAAATCAGTTTTAAGTGACTTCTCAATGATGAAAAGCTTATCCAGGTTTCCCTCCCTTTCCCAAGCCTTGTTTGTAGTTTTCCCTTTGGGAAAAGCTAACATCAATGCCGACTGCCTCCTTGACACTGTTAATCAGGCACCTGGGACATGAGGGAGGGAGGGAGGTAAAGCAAGACCTTGCTAGTGAGTTGTCCTGTGCTTGGTGGCGACTTTGTTGTTTTTGTTTTTTTACAAAAATAAAGATGAAAGAACTTATTTGGAAAAGATGTTGGGGAATCACGGTTATAGATGCTTATAAACTCCAGGTAGCTGCAGCATAAGTCAGTACAGTCAGCCCTCCATATCCGTGGGTTTCACATCTGAGGATTCAACCAATCAGTTGATATGCAGGGTCAGCTGTATTCAAAATACTCGCCATTTTACATAAGGGACTTGAGCACAGATGCTCAAGTCCCTTAAGCATCTGTGGGTTTTGGTATCCCCAGCGGTCCTGGAACCAGTGCCCCACGGATACCAAGGGACAACCGTACAAAGGTTCCAAATGCCTATTTAAAGGCAGTTCCAGTCCTGGAGTCACTCAGCACCACCAGCCACTTCTTTGACCTGAGGTAGGATGACCAACTTCCTGCCTGCTTTGCTGGGACAGCCCCGTTTATGCCGCTTGTCATGGCATAAATTTAATAGCACCCCTTTTTATTCTGAAAAGGGTCTCAGTTTAACAGTAAATCATTTAGTCATCTTGATGAACTTAAGATTGCGATAATGTCGCCTACCTTGACAGTTTGTGAAGTTCAGAGATCAGATAATCCAAGTGCCTGATGCGTGGAGCTGCTACAGACAGTAGAGAGAGGGGAGAGCAGCAAAGAGGGGGAGTCCTTCTGAACTTATTTTCCCACCACAGCGCAACATGCTCTGAATAATGAGCCACAGGCATTTCTGGGCACCCCTTGGTCCTGTCTTAAAAAACTGGGAACAATTAAAATGTAACTAGATTCAAACAGTTGCAGATGAGCTGCTCCATTGCGAAGGGTGGGGGGGGGGGACTAAGTCTGATACCCATGTCCCATTTGGGTCCCAGGCCTAGTTTGTGCCTGTTGTCCTGGTGTGAGTTAATAGCATCCCTTTTTACTCTCCAGTGTCTCAGAGTTTGAATAACAAATTATAGTCATTCTAGAATTAAGCCATAAAAGGATAGTTTTAAGGAAGACCAACCGATTTTCTTTTGAGGCTTAAGAGAAAACAAAATCCTTGGCAAGTCTTACCAGGTTTCTGACACCCTAAAACACAGCCTATTTTGGTGGAGATGTTAACACTCTTTGTCAAACAACTACCTGTTGGTTCAGGCCAATGCATCCCCCAGTCCTTAGCCCCTTGGCCCTGCAGTTTGGGTGAACAGTGCTTCCCATGGCTGAGGAGGCCTAAGCAATAGGAGGAGGCAAATGTCTCCTGAGGCTAGGTCTGCACGTGGGGCCTTCTCATCCCAACCATCCCTGAGCCCCTCTGAAGGTGGGACATGATGAGCTAAGTTCCTGAGCAGACCGGAGAGAGTTCTAGTTTGTTTTAAAAAAAATCAGAAAGCCTGTTTTCTAATGTGAAGCTACAACAGACGTGCCTGCTTTTTTTCTGAGTGGAAAAGGATGAAAAAGAACCATTTGCCTTTTTTGTTCACTTTTCATAATTTCATCTTTGTCCACCTGCCTTTTCTCAGCCAGACTGAATAGAGGGATTCTTTATCAAGTGCTTCCAACATGCCTGGCCTGCGATGGGCAGTCCCGTTTATAAAAAGAGCAAGAAGGGTAGGCAAGGCCAGGAGACGAAGTGTTTTAAAAGACTTCGTCTTGAAAGACCAAAGTACTGATAACCTGATGGCAGCAGCAATAGTAAAGAAGGGATGACTCATTTAGAATGATGGTTTTTGTTTTTTTCAAAACACCTGAAATTTTACTCATGGTACAAAAGTATTTAATAAGCGCCACGTTGGTACAGAAAAACGCACAGCCTACAGCTAGCTCATCCTTTAAAACCAGAACAGCCAAGTGAAAAGTCAGTAGAGAGTCTTATTTTTACTTTAAAAATAAAAAAAGCAACAAAAAAACAACTAAGGTATACATTGGGAATTGAACTACTATAGTTTTTCTTTCTAGAGAGGTGACATCCATGTTTTCTGGTCAGTAATGTTCTATCAAACATTGTACTAAACCAGTGTACTAAATCCAAGCAGACAGATGACCAGTAAAGCTGTTTGCTATCTCCTACTGAGCTAGACCAGTGGAACACTATCTTGGTAGGATTATTTTGACAGCAAGAAGGAAGTGCACAGCCCCTACCCCAACAGAAAACCTAAGGAGCTGTTCTACATAGAAAGGGTTTTAAGCAAACCTGCACAAATACTAACATGCTCTAAGAAAAGGAAACCTTTTAGACCACTTCCAGCATACATTCATTGGTGCCCAGTAAAACAGGAACACCAACATGGAAAGCATTTTTGCTTTCATAGCACTAACAGCTAAAAAGCACACAGCAATATAATACTTTGATCTTGAAGTGGGTAATCATGGAAGTTCCAAGATTATATCCACTAGGTTAGCCTGAGTATTCATTTATAAAAGTGTTTTCAAAAACACATAAATGAGAGTTATAGAAACAATGGGACTACATCAGGACCAGCAGAGGACAGTAAAGTGATACAAGGACTGTACGTGTAAGACTAGGAACTGATTTTCACAAGTACCTTTTTAGGTAAAGGACAACTCTCTAAGTCGATTCCTACCTCCAAGACTAGCTGTGATAGTAGGAGTTTCAGAAATCTTGAGATGGGTACCTAGCTTGAGTTAAACCCTAGATAAATACTCCCAGTCAAAAACCCCACTGAGGCTGCAGGACTGAAACTCTGACCCATATAAAAAGCTGTGAGTGCACAAAAAGCCTGGTGGGAGGGCTTCCCTGGTGGCGCAGTGGTTGAGAGTCTGCCTGCCGATGCAGGGGACACGGGTTCGTGCCCTGGTCCGGGAAGATCCCACATGCCGCGGAGCGGCTGGGCCCATGACCCATGGCCGCTGAGCCTGTGCGTCCGGAGCCTGGGCTCCGCAACGCGAGAGGCCACAGCAGTGAGAGGCCCGCGTACCGCAAAAAAAAAAAAAAAATGCCTGGTGGGACATGCAAGGCCTGCTGGGCCAAGAGAGTTGGTGATGGTGGGTTCTTCCAACAAGGACACACCAACACATATGCTGGGGAAGTGCCCCCCAGGTGGAATGCTGGACTTGGGCTTGGTGCAGGAGCCAGACTCAGAAGCTCCTGAAAGAGGTGTCTACTCAGGGCGGAGTACTAGGGTTACTGAAGACAAGCACGTGTCCCAGGAAGGTCGGGTCATTTTCTTCTGACCCATCAATACTTAACATTAACAAAGAGTTGCAGAACAGAGTCAGTGATTCCAAGATGTATTCTTCAGACAACATCAGCCAAAGCCTCTCCCAGTCTATTGGGCTGGGTCATGTCTAGAAAGATCCCATTACCTGGAGGTGGGACCTAGGGCCGCAGATTGTTCTGGGAAGCTGTCATAGAAGATGATTTGCACAATGAAGTCACCACTAAACCGCTGCTTAAGTCCAGTCCCCGGCCTTCTTTTTCCTACATGAGAAGAGAGCAACTTTAAGAGGCAAGAGACAAAAAAAAGTCCTTTCTAGCTCATAACAGGGAAGGAAGTGTTCAGGGTGGGCCACCAGGGAGCACACAGGAAGAGGGAGTGATTTTGCATTTTTATTCAGAGCTGGTCACTCTTTAAAAATGCACCTCTTGGGGACTTCTCTGGCAGTCCAGTGGTTAAGACTCCACGCTTCCACTGCAGGGGGCACGGGTTCGATCCCTGGTCTCTTGGTTGGGGAACTAAGATCCCACATGCCACGAGGCGCAGCCCAAAAAAACAAAAAAATGACCTCTCTTCACTGAAAAACATTTCTTTTTCCTATTAAGAACCTGTACTCCAAGAAAAGCAAGGCAATCAGACCTGTTTTTTGGCTTTGTCCTTTTGATTATTTAGGAACCCTATAAGGTGCCTGGGACCTGTTTCACCAAAACCATGAGAATGTAATTCCTTGTTAAGGGTCCCAGGCCCCGGCCAGCAGAGGACAGCAGCTCGCTCTGCTGATACTGGCCAGTCTTACAGAGAGGAGCACAGGGGGTGGTTTGTGCTCGACAGGTCTACTTGGAACTTTCTAAGCAGTTCACTGTGACTAAACAGACAGAGGAACTTACTGCTCTATAGTCCAGAAACATTTCTTTAAAAGCCAGAAAATCTGTAAACGTGAGCAGCATGTCGAAAATGTCACCGGCCACTTCATCTTTATGGTGCCTGCAAAAGAAAAGGGGCTGCTTCATGAATGAATGACGATACAGACTGTCTCTTCGAGATTTCCCTCAAAGGTCTGGAGGGCCTCCCACCCAGGACCTAACCAAGTGCTCTAAAGCTTGATATTCAAGCACTGAGGAAAACAAGGGGGAGGGTGTTCTTTCAGAGTTGAGGGTAAAAAGACGTAAGAAAGCAGAGTCAAGCTCAACTCACTGTAAAGTTGTAGTGAAAGCCGCCATGTTAAATCCAGGAATCCGCTCCAACAGCTGTTCTTCTATATACTTTTCTACCAAAGAAATCTAACAGTGGAAAGGATCTTGGTCAGACTGTGCTTTAAGAAAACAAAGCTTCTCTTCAGAAAGCCTGTCCTCCAGCCCTTTGAAAACATTTCCTAAGAGCCTACTCTGTGTGCCTGGCTCCCCGCGAGTGCTGGGAGAACCCAGAGAACCCAAACCCAAACCCAGCTCCTGTCCTCAGTGAGCACACCCCCTGTGCCCTGGCCCACCCGTGGGAGAGGCATTTGCAGGTAATTACGATGTAACAAGAGGAATGCTCCAAGGTGGGTAGGGATAGGGAGCAGAAGGGCTCCCACTCCCCACGGCGGGAAGGGAGGAGTGAAGTAAGTGGGGGCTTTTCTGCCTGGGTAGACAGAATCTGTGCGGAAAGAACATATAAAAAAGCACACAGTTGGAGGTAATCGCAGGTTCCTTAAAAGCTGAGGCTTGGCTTAAGAAACCTTCTTCGACTCTGCCACACTTCTATGTTAAGGGAAGAAAGTCCTGGAGGCTCAAACCTCTTCTCGGACCGATGAGATCATAACAGGAGGCTGCACGAGGCCTTGGCATAGGGCAAAGACCCAAGGGGTCAAGAATCGAGGTCCCTGGGTTCTAGTCTTGGTTTTGCCACCAACTACTTAGTGATCTTGGTCTTGGTTTTCACTTTTATCAAACAGTCGTGCATACCTGGATGGATTATGTAGTAGGAAAAAATAGTGTGTGAAAGCCCAAAAGGTCAAAAGTATGTAAGTGCAAGGTATGGTGAATCCACATACTGTAACTGAAAGCAGGATTATGATAAAGCCAAACATGTTTTAAAACAGAAGACGAAGTCATTAAATATTTGGAAAACAGCCCCAAGAACTGTGCAGAGGAAAACAACAGGAGGTGAAGACTAAATCAGATTCTAATTAGGCTTCCCGGCAGGGTGCTGATGGCAGACTAAGTTGAGCAGATTTCAACATCACTTGATCCTAAATTCATAATTTAAAGAAATCCTAATCTCCAGTAAGAGAAACAGGAATCCACTTACATATTCATTAAAAATAGGTGTGTAGGTGAGCTTATTCTCTTCTGTGTCTTCAAACTCCTGGTAGTACTTGTCCATGAAATTCCTCTGTAATAACTGGAACTCATCATCTGAACCGCAATAGGAAAAATGTACTCTTTTTAGTGGAGACTAAAAACCATTCTGATTTCTAAACAGGCAGGAAGAAATGTCAGCAGAACTGCTTTATGGATGGCCAGTCTCTAGGAGGGGAAAGCTGAAGGTGTTAACCGTACAGTTTCGCGGCATGAAGCGCCTTCACGCTGCTGTGCAACCACCACTATCCTCTAGTCCACTTTAACCAGGGTGGCTTGGGAACTCCACAAAGGGTTGTCTTAATATAATTTCAGCAGCAGTGGTGTAAACAGTGTAGTGATTAAATGCATGGGCTCTGATAGAGGCTAGACTACCTGGGTTCAAATCCCACCTCGGCCACTTACAACTGTGTGACCTTCGGCCTGTTACTTAATTTCTCTAAGCCCCAGTTTCTTCATTGGAAAAATGAGGATGATCAGAGTACCTATCCTGTAAGACTTGCTATGTGGAATTTAGATGAGAATTCATGTATAGAGATTGGTTCCTAGCAAACATTAAGGTTTATGGTATTTAGGGTATTTTAACAACCAAACAGAATATAACTTCTAAAAATAAAAGGAAAGCTTCATAAATGACCTAGACTTTGGAATAAATACCCTGGGCTTTCCCACAGCACACAGGTTACTCATAGAGGCCAAAGGAAAGTATTCCTCAGCATTCCCCAGAAATCCTCAGATCCACATGGGATCTTAACAGTGAAACATTTGCATTTAGAAGTTAAGGGTATGAACCTTTACAGGACCCGAAGGTATAAAAACTTGGTCAATGATTTTTCACTAAACAAGGCTAAGAAATACAGCTAGTAACACCAAACAACAGTGTTCTTTTCCTAATTCTCAGAAAACTTAAAGTCAACAGACAAGATTTTCTCAAATTTTTCTCTCCCACATACTTGTCTTAAATGGTTGGTGCCTATTACTGCTTATTACTTAGCAGGACTTATGGATGCCAAAATGAATCCACAAATTCGAACTCAGAACCCAGCTGAAGTATGACATCTTGTTCCTCACGAACATGTGTGCTATGGCTATGGTATTTTTAAATTAATTAATTAATTAATTTTTGGCTGCGTTCGGTCTTCGCTGCTGTGTGCAGGCTTTCTCTGGTTGTGGCGAGCTGGGGGCTACTCTTCCTTGAGGTACGCAGGCTTCTCATCGCGGTGGCTTCTCTTGTTGCAGAGCACAGGCTCTAGGGCGCAGGCTTCAGTAGTTGTGGCTCGCGGGCTCAGCAGTTGTGACACACGGGCTTAGTTGCTCTGCGGCATGTGGGATCTTCTTGGACCAGGGCTCGAACCCGTGTTCCATGCACTGGTAGACAAAATTAACCACTGCGCCACCAGGGAAGTCCCAATGGCTATGGTATTACACTGTGATTTATATCACAAAATATTAAAACACAAGACTAAAAATTGATTTTACTCTCTGAAATAAACTAGGTTAATATTTTCTGAAGTTTTGCCAAGAGCCCCATAACTTCAAGGTGCCCCATTACCTGAATAAGTCCCTTCAGGGGACTGAATCTATGGTTACTAGTTACTTAAAGGAGTAGGGGCTGTAGCCTGTAAAGCAAAGCACAATAAGGCTTACTTTGTATTACAGTACGTTACATTAAACATTACATGCAGCTTCATGTTTTCTCTCTTTTTGAAAATTAACTCTCCAAATGGATTTCAACGTCCTTAAAAGCAAGGGCCTAAAACCTAAAAAGCACAGGCAAGGAAGCTTACCCATGATAATGTCTTCTAAATATCCAACCACAGCATCAAATTCTGCATCAGAGGCGGAAGAGCTGAAAAATACGCCTGGATTAGGAGCTGTTTCAGATTAATTCCTCTTTTTTTCAAAATGTATTATGGACATTTTCAAATAAACTTCCCATCAACTAGCTTTAAAAATTAATAATGATTACTGTCTAATTCAGCAATGCCACACAGAAGAAAACATATTTGACACATCTGTGACATCAAAGTTGAATGCAATGGCTCCACTTTCATAAAACATGATACGACCCAAGGACTTACAACAGGGACAAATAAAAGGGGCAAAGGCTCACAGCGGACATCTTAAGGCTCCTCGCATTTATTTCGTTGGGGTCCTACTCACCGCATTTTCGCTATCACCCCACACCAATCTGCTTGTGGGCGCGCGTAAACTTGGTGCGGTTAAGACACTGGCCGGGAAGGGGGGCAATTAGAACCCCTGGGGGTAGTGGTGGTGGTCTTCTGACCCGTGGTCGGGCCTCTGCAGCTCAAACTCGCCAGGTTTTGCTGACGACCAAGGATTGGAGGCGGGGGGCATTGTGACAGAGGCGTGTATCATCGCATGACACCGCACTGCAATCCTGTCTTCCAGGGCTGAACCCCGCGGTCGCCGCGGCGGCAGAGTCGGCCGCGGGAACTGGGGCGGAATCTTGTTGCTCTCCCACCCACACCGGGGATCCTGGTTTCGCAGGGCGGAGGCAGAGGCCGAGGCCAAGCGCCGGCAGCCCCGACCTTCAGCCTCCCGGGCTCGTGCGGCGTCACTCACAAGGACAGCGCGAAGCTCTCTTCCTCTAGAGCGTCCATCGCCGCCGCCGCGTCCATCGCCAACGCCGCATCCACCGCGCGCGGGGCAGCGGGCCCGCCGGGCTTCTACCCCGCCCGAGGCCCGGGAGCAGCCTCCGCTCTGCTCCGCAGAGCCCCAACCGGCATCGGGAAGGCCTCGCAGCCGAGGCCTCGGCCAGTTCACGGCCCAACCGAGTAGCGCCTGCGCACGACACCCCGGCCTCAGGCTCCCTGGCTGCTGCCACGCGCTAGCCGGGCCGCACTTAACTCGCCGCTGCCGCCTAGGGGGTCCCGACGTCCGTTACCGCGCCCACCCCGCCTTCACCAAGGCCTCCGCGACCCTTCCGCCGCCTCGCGGCTCTCAGCAGCCAATCACAGGCGTGCGTTGCCAAACGCCAGGGGCGGGGCAAAGATAGGGAGAGGAAGTGAGGGAAAGGGATGGAGGGTCGCGAACGGAAGTCGGACCTCTTTGAGCAGGTCAGGGGCTCTCTCACGTATACTCACTCTGTGGGGTGATTAAATCTGACGTCGTCCCCATTTTGAAGAGGAAGGAATCCAACCCCAGAGAGAGCCTTCATTTCCTCACTTGCAACTTGGTGAATTACAAGATTTAAGATGAAGCTTCAGGTCGTTTAAAGCGGGTTTTAAGAGCACTGTAAATCGAAAATCTCTTGAGAGCCAATCCCTTAGCTTTTGAGCCAGATAATGAAGACCTCTGATTTGCGAGACAGTTACTCCCTCTCGTGGAAGGATCGCCCCACCGCAAGAAGTGGAGGTATTGTAATTTACATCATAAGTATAATATTCACATCAAAAAGATTATTCGGCACTAACTGGTTTCTTGGGTAATTAGGCAAGATAAAAGTTGACAGAACCACTTTGAGCAACTACATCAGGTGACTTTGCTCCAGGAAAAGTACCCCTCCAAAACTGACGAATTTTGCAAAAGGATACCCTAGATCTGTTTTCTCCTGATTGGATCACTAGACATTGTGTCTCTTCGGTTGCATTTTATTTTTTGGCCAAATGTCTGGTACATGTCTAGAGGAATTTTAGGTATGGCTTAAGTTTGATCTGTGGGTCAGATGGCCAGTCTGAATAAATTGACATTTTTGAATGGACATAAAATAGATATCAGTGGGATGTGGAACTAAAAATGGTTACCATGACACAGTTGTATCCAGAGTGAGATCAATTCTCAGAGGTACTACTTCTGCTTACCACCAAGTAGAAGGCAGGCATCCAGAAAGATTTGCTGAATAACTGGACGGAGTTCTGTAAGTCAAACACTGGTCACACAGCTCAAGGCAAACTCAGCAATTTCCTCATGACCTACTTTCTCTATAAACCACACTTACTTCTGCTGGACTAAATGAACTTGCCCACACGTTCTACTGCTAATACATATATGGGATCAGAGCAGAGGAGGAAACTTGATTTCATCTTTTCTGGTTATCTAATGCTGTTACAAGCCACCAGAAAACTTATTGGCTAAAAAAACTCAATTATTTTGCTCTCTAGTCTGCAATTTGGACAGGACTTGGTAGGGACAGCTAGTCTCTGTTCCACTTGGCATCAGTTAGGGTAGCTGGAATGGGGCTAGAGAAGCCTCTTCCAATAAGCTTACTCATGTGGCTGGCAAATCAGTATTGGCTAGGGTAGCTCAGTTGTGGATGTTGAACAGAGGACCTGGGAGGTGGGAGGTGATCACCGTTCCTCTCCACATACGTCTTCCCATGGATGCTTGGGTTTTCTCACACCATGGCAGCTAGGTCCAAGAGCAAATATTTCAAGAGACGGGACGTGGAAGCTGCCAGTCACTCAATGGCCTGGGACCAGAAACTGGCTCAGTATCCCTTCCACTGCATTCAGTTGTTCAAGCAAACATAGAGCCCACCCAGATTTAAGGGGAGGGGGCAGAAATTTCATTTATAGATGGGAGGAATGTCAAAGAATTTGTGGCCCTCTTTAGTCCACTTCACCATCTCTGGCTCTAAGAACAAGTGGGAATAAAGAATAATAGGTATCCACCTATTCAGGCATGTGCCAGATACTGTGATACACATTTAAAAACACATTGTTTCCTTTTAAAATACTTGAAACCCTATGAGAAAACCCCCCAAAACTCTAAAAAGTATTATCTCCATTTTACATATTAGGAAACTAAGGCCTAGAAGTTAAGTACTTGCATACAGGTAATAGGCGGCATAGCGGGGTTGGAACCTGGGTCCGCCCCACTCCTAAGAGCCTAACCATCAAGTTATGTATGGTCCCAATCCCCGAGTTGTCAAATAATATTCCTGGAAATCAGAACATGATGTTTTTCTGCTGAAAACAGAATGGCGGACTTTTTGTAGAAAAATAGAAAATTCACTTGTATATATGAAATATTTTCCATTAATAATACTTTCTTCATTCATTTTGGGTTGGCATTAAGAATTGTTTTATGTGACTAAATAGCAAGAAAATGGACAATCTTGGAAACTGCTGATCATAGTTTTCTTGGTTACATAATCAAGATGGTTGAAATTCATGCAAAAGGCATTTTCTGCTAATGAAATTGTTTTGGTTTCTGTGATTGAATCATCATTCCCTGGCATTCTGCAAATGGCACCATGACTTTATCCTGCTCTATCAATATCATTCAAAAAACACAGCAATTATTAAAATCTTTTTGGCTGGAACCCCGGGGTCATTTCCCCAATGACTCATTGCAGAAATTACTACAAATTACCTATTTTTCCATCTACTTTTTTCTCTCTCCACTGAATTTACAGACCACTTTTACCTCTCTGCTGGACTACTTAAAAGTCTCCCTACTGGTCATATTACTTCCATTTTTTGCTTGTTCTCTATACTGCCCCCCTTCCAACCCCACTCCAATTCCATTCTCCAAATAGAAGCCAGAGCCAGCTTTAAAACTTATTTATCAAAGCATACTTACATGCTTAAACTCCTTTGTTTTCTATTGCACTTAGGATAAAATACAAAATCCTGAACATGGCCTTCACGAGCAGTTCCCTGACCTCTCCAACCCTGGAGCATGCTTTTCTACCCACTCAGTTCCTACCTTACTAGTTCAAGGGACTTCCATCTGATCCTGGGGCCTACTGAGCTCCTTTCCTCCTTAGTTAAGGCCTTTGCCTATAATGTGTTCACCTAGCTACCCAGTCCTAGAAGCCTGTCCTCAGTCTCTCTGCCTGGCTATATCCCTAGGTCCTACTTCCTCCTTTAAGTTTTTTTTTTTGTAATGGATTTATGATTTCTTTTTATTTATTTATTTTTAATTCATTTATTTTTGGCTGCGTTGGGTCTTCCTTGCTGCGCACAGGCTTTCTCTAGTTGCAGCAAGCGGGGGCTACTCTTTGTTGCGGTGCGCGGGCTTCTCATTACGGTGGCCTCTCTTGTTGTGGCGCACGGGCTTAGTTGCTCCGTGGTATGTGGAATCTTCCCGGACCAGGGCTCGAACCCGTGTCCCCTGCACTGGCAGGCGGATTCTTAACCACTGTGACACCAGGGAAGTCCCTCCTCTAAGTTTTTACCAATATTACTCCTTCAGTGAGTTTTCTCCCTTTCCCCTCATCTAAATTAGGTTCCCCTTGTTCTTTCTCAAAGGCACCCTATTTTCTTTCAGGGCACCAAAAATTTATTACAATAAGGAAAAATATAGTTTTCTCCCCACTACCAGATGTCAGCTCCACGAACAGATCTGTTTTGTATACCGTATAGGTGCAGTGCCCAGAACATATTAGGTGTCCAATAAAGGTTTGCTGGATGAATAAGTGATTAACCTTATTTCTTAATTCTAATACTTGATTCTGTCCTACCCTGGAAAGTATAAACCTGAGAGTATAATATCTTGGAACCTTAGCAGCAGGCACCAATGAAAGTTGTGAAATCTTAGTCAAAAAAGGCAACAAATGTTTTATTTCTTCAATGCAAATTACTGTATTCACCACAAGCTAAAGAAGAGAACATATATATATATATATATATATATATATATATTTATATATATTTTTGAATTTACGGAAGACTAAAGACATGGAAAAAATCCAGCACCCCAACAAGTACGGCCAGGAAGGAAATCAGGTCTGTAATAGGACAATTTAATGAACTACAAACAAGAAAGGGTGGCAAAGGAAGAAAAAAATGTGCATTGAATTTAAGACACTGTAAAACTCAGAAGACATATTTACTATTCAAGTATAAACTCAGTAAGGACTTGGCATAAATTGAAAGGCAGCTGCTGAGGTACACCATTATAAAATAAGTTCTATGAATTTACAATTCTACCTTCCAATTTTCTGGGAGAAAAAACCAAACTCTTGAAGGTCTTCACCAGAGACCCTGAGAGGGAACAACACTTTGGATGAAGACATAGTCAACAATCCATGATTGAATTTCCTATTCAAAAACATGTATTTATTTTAAACAATAGGAATACGTGCTCTCAGACTGACCTCTAAGAGTTTTTGAGACTACTGGTTCAAGAGTTGCAAAGTATATTACTTCCCAAAACAATACTGATTAAAAAAAATTTTTTTAAACAAAAAACAGAGAGACCTCATTTGATGGTAGCTTAAAAATACCCTAAATACCAAATTTTCTCCAGTCTAACATTGCGATTAATTTAACAATTCCTCCTGCGTTGTTAAAACATTTTTTCCTCACAAAATGTGGGTACTGAAATTGGATAAAAACACCATGAATGTGAAAATACCACCAATTTTCTGCAGTTAAAAAAAACTAGAATGTTCTTTGGAATCACTGAAATATCAAAAATTTGGGTTTTTTCCTACAGTCTGTGCACCTTCTTTCAGGCCCTCCATGTTGCTTGTAGTATTGACCTGTGTGATTCTAGTTTCATAGCTTCAAGTCTTGCAATATCCATGCTTAACACACCAGTGGCTCTCTGACCAATGGGAAGTTATGCTTAACCCAGAAACG